GCGGGACACATCCTCCAGCTGAGGGATGTTATCAGGACTGTAGCCGCAGTGTTTCTCCAGTAAGCGGAAAGCCTCTAGATGTTCACTGCAGGCGTGGGTGGTGTACAGATCCCTGAGGGTGGAGTAGACCTCACGCCTGCGCACACAATAGGTTGCATGTGAGAAGTCTGAATGAAAAACAGTGTGAGGATCTCTGGCTGTGTTTCATCTGGGGTTGTTTGTTTATTTCAGTTGAACACACCATGTTTCGATCTCCTCTTCCGTATACTCCACTCTGGGAATCGGTTCTCCGCTGGAAAGAGAGACAGCTGTCAATCAAATATCTGTGCCAACATGTCCAGACAAGCAAATACTGCATGGTAAACATGGTTGCAACATACTGTTTGTATTTGAAGGCAATGTCTCCAATCATCTTCCGCCGTTTTCTGTAAACGGGGTCAGTGAATCCCTGCAAAATAAACCACAAACCAGTGCTTGTTATAGAACATTTTGAGGCTGTTTAACTCGTTTCCCGCCATTGAACATCGCTATCTCATGGCCAATTCATGCATATTTTACAAATTGGCTAATTCGTATGAATTCATACAACCACACTTGTATGATTTCTGTGACGGTTAAGTTTAGGGGTGGGGTTATGGTCCTTCATACGAATTCCTACAAATTTTCTACCTCGTAAAATACAAATGATTTTTCACAAATCGTATGAATTCATACGAGTGAGGCTGTACAAATTCGTACGAATTAGCCGCCTTGTCCAATATGTACGAATTGCCTTGTGATCGTGTTGCATTGAAAAAATTTCCCGGCTTTTCACTGTTGTATGGTAGGAGGTGCTATTATGCATCTTCTGAAAGAGTACTGAATCTCTGGAACACAGCGAAGAAGAAGCAGAAACAAGCAATCGCATATATAAGCAGATAGATATGTAAAATAATGCGATCATCAAACAATAAAAAGCATATAAATCAAAACTGCCTAACGTTACCGAATGAAATGTCGACACAGGAAGGTTTAGGACTTGCAGCTTTGAAGGTGGTTATGGACTTGATCTACTCCATCTATGTTTTAATCATC